AAAGAGTGACGTAGGGATGGGAGGAAATAGGGGTGGTGAGGAAGTCTGCTTATAACACTGAAGCCCATCCCAACCAGTACTACATTTCTGCAGGAAATTCACAAGATATCAGAGTTGTCTGGGCCAGAAGGAACACAATGAACATGGCACATTCTTGGGCCTCCGGAGTGAGGACTGAAACTTAGGAGTTGGTACTCTCTTGTCACTCTGTAGAACATAATAAAGACCCATAAGGATGAAAGTGCCAAAAGCAGGCTTTAATTTTTCATGATATCTTGTTTTACTCCAGTTAGAAAATGAAATGTAATAAATATTATATGGCAGGGGCCAGGTGCTCACACAATGGTAGTGCAACTGGACCCACTGGGGAAAGGTCCTGGGTTTGTATCCTGGGACCTCCCTGAGCATACAATGCTCATGACCGTGATCCAGGGCAGCTGAGACTGGGGGTGAGTCATAATGTGAGGGCTCTTGTGGAGGTACATATCTCTTTCTCTCTTATGGAAGGAATTAATTAATTAAGAAGAATATTACAAGGGCTGGAAGATGGCGTGGTGGTTGAGGTGCTGGACTCCCATGTGGGTGACTGTGGTTTGAGTCCTGGACCTGATGGCTTGTTTTCTTAAAAAATAATACGTGAGAGGGACCAGCAGTTAGCATAATGGCTATGTCACTGGACTTCCATGTAGTAGACCGCAGGTCGAGTCCCGGACCTGGTGGCTTAAACTTACGCCAGGCGCGTGTGCGTGTGTGTGCACAAGATCTTGAGAGGAGAATGGAGGAGAAGGGATTGTGGCATGGCCATCCCCCCTGGGGGCTGATTTCTCACTTTCTGTCTCTCTGTCTTTCTGGCGAGCGCATGCGCCCTGTAGCAAAAACCTCTTAAAAAAAATAGTAATAATACGTGAGAATTTATTATCCTGTTGTAGTAAAATTACACATAATTTTATTAAGTATTTGTTATTAAGAGTAATGATATTATCAACTCCAAATATTATACAGAATTTATGAAAAGATATCTATTTTAACTTATAGCAAACATTTATGGAATGCCTGCTTTAGGTCAGGCATTGGGGAAGAACTCTCAATCTGACTTCCCCTTTATGTTGTCACTGGTTTTCACTCACCAGAAAGACAGAGAGGGCGAAAGCATCCTCCAATGACATACGGTCAAGTCAGGTCTTTTTCCATTTCTCCATCCTGTAGGGATTTGGGGACATGCACACATACACACTTATGTGGCATCTTCCTCAAGTTGCCAGGACAGACAGTCAAACCATGACTAGCCATGTGGGATCCTGCTTCCTTAACCACTAGACTATAGGACCAGTCCAATATACTAAGTTAAAAAAAATGTTTTTAGTTAATCCTTCTAATGGTGTGAAGTAAAAATTCAACTCATTCTTTGATGTGTGAATTTCCATTTGTCTCAGTAGCATTTGTTAAAGACTGTTCTTTCTCTACTGAGTCATCTTGGCACCCTTATTGACAATCAGTTGACCACAGTACATTGGTCATACTTTGCTTCTAGTCTATTGGCCTGTATCTTTATTTTCATACCAATACTGCACTGTTTTGACTTACCTTTGTACCACATGGGTTCTCCAACTTTATTCTTATTCAAGATAGTTTCGTCATTTTGTGTCCCTTGTAATTCCATATGGATTTTAGGATAAGTATGTCCATTTCTGAATAAAAAGGCCATTGGGATTTTGATAGGGATTACACTGACTCTGTAGACTAATTTTGAGAGTAATGCCACCTTAACAATGTCAAGTTTTCCAATGGGTAAACACAGGCTATCTTCCATTTACTTAGGTCTTCTTTAATTTCTTTCAACAATGTTTTGTACTTTTCAGTGTACAAGTCTTGCATCTTTTCAGGGTACAAGTCTTGCATCTAATAAATATAAGTTAATTTATACTTATTAATTTTTGTTCTTTCTTTGTGTTATCATAGTTATTTTCTCAGTTTCCTTCTCAGATTTTTCCTTGCCAGTGTGTAGAAACACTACTGACTTTTATGTGTTAATCTTGTATCTTGAACCATTATGAAATATATTAGTTATAACAGTTTTGCATAGATTTTTGAAAAGGATTTTTAACGTATAGAATCACGTTGTTTGCAAAGGGAGATTGTTTTATTCCTTCCTTTGTAGCTGGGATTTCTTTTATTTCTTTTTCTTGCCTAACTGCTCGGGCTAGAATTTCTAGTACAACATTTACTAAAAATTGCAAGTAATTTTCTGCTCTGAAGGGGAACGCTTTCAATCTTTCACCATTGTGTTGTTAGTTATGAGTTTTCAAGAATGCATGTTCAGCCATTTCTGTATTCTTGCAGTAAATCTCACTTGGTCGTGATTGATAATTCTTTCATATGCTGTTGGATTTGGCCCTGTAATATTGTGTGATTTTCTTTGGATCTATATTCCCCTAAAGCATATTGATCTACAGTTTTCTTGTGTTATCTTTGCCTGGTATTAAGGTAATGATGGCCGTATAGAATAAATAGCAGAATGTTCCATCCTTATTCATTTTTTGAAAGAGTTTTGAGAAGGACTGTGTTAATTCTTCTTTACATGTTTGGTACAGTTCATCAGTAAACCTATGTAGTCCTGAACTTTTTTTGAGTTTTTTTTTTTTTTTTTATGTATTGATTCAATCTCTTCACTTGTTATATGTCTGTTCAATTTTTTACTTCGTTGCTTTGGTAATTGTGTGTTTCTAGGAATTTGTCCATTTCATGGACATAACGCTCATTTTTGATGACTAAATTCATTTCTTGTTTAGTTAGCAAATATCAATGTAGCTAATGTTTATAAAATGTGAAATGTATGTCATGTTTTATTACTTACTCTTCTAAAGTAAAATGTATATAAGATTCCAAAAAAGAATTAAACAAAAATTTCTCCAAATAATTAGGAATCAAAATTTTCGGATGGGGTGTTGCTATAAATTTTATTACCGAAAAGCATAAGCCCTCTTCATCAAAATAAATGATTACTCATATAAAATGAAATCTCTTTTTCTACCTGGAGGCAGGAAAGGTAAGAATGAAGACTCCTGAGTCAGAATGCCTGCATTCAAACTCCTGCTGTCACTCACTTGTTATATAACTTCTTTGTGCCCCAGGAAGTTTTTGTTGTTGTTCTAACATCTTTTCTTCAGCTTCCTTCCTTTCCTTAAATACATAAATATACTTCACAGCTGATCACTCTTCGAAAATAATTGAATTTCATATTCATAATATGATAAATATATAAAGTATTAATGCATTGCTATCACCATTATTTTCTTAGTGACTTCACAGGGAAAATGACTGCAATTTTTTTTTTTTTGAGAGATTTTTGCTGTAGGGCACATGTACTCGCCAGAAAGACAGAGAGAGACAGAGAATCAAAAGGCAAGAAATCACCCCCCCCATGGGGGATGGCTCACGCTGCAATCCCTTCTCCTTTATTCTCCTCTCGGGACCCTAGGCATGCACGCACACGTGCCCGGCATGAGTTTAAGCCACTGGGTCCAGGACTTGAACTACATGGGAGTCCAGCGATGTAGCCATTATGCCTACTGCTGGTCCCATGACTGCAAATTAAAAAATAAAAATTTGCAGAGGGTGAGGATGCTCAGCAGAAAAAGAGAGAAAAAGTGAGAAAGCACATCCCCCCCCATAGGGGATGGCCAGGCTGCAATCCCTTCTCTTCCATTTCTTCCTCCTTTCTGGTTTCCAACACGCACACACAAACCCACCATGTTTCTCAAGCTGCTGGGGCTACTACTGAAACTGCTAAGTAAGCCATGTGGGA